TAAATAATTTTGGGTTTTTCTACTGTTAACAGTTTACTTGCCTATTTTTTTATTATACTTCTTGATACTAACAAGGTTTCTGTTCTTTTAAGTGCTTCAAGTACTTGATTGTAAAGAAGTATATCACTTATTGTAATATTTTTTGGATTGTAAATTGCAAAATCTTTTACTATATATTCTACATTGCTTGGATTATTGATTCATTTAGATAAAATTTCATCTAATATTCTGCTAACTATATATCTTTTATTTCTATTACCAAAACCCCTTATATGTTGTATTAATTCTGGGACATCTGAAAGGTCTAGTTTGCATTATACTTCTATTTTTATATTAGATTGTTGTTTATTTATTTGTTACAATACATGTAAAATTTTTTCTTACTACACATTACTCTGGTTATACTGACATCTAAATATAATAACATCATAGAAAAATCTTTCTATACTGACTTTTTTTTTAAAAATTTTAATATAAAATGTCAGTATAACTTACTGTATTAACACTTTAAAAATTTTTACTAATGTTTCAAAAATGTTAATATAATCAGAGTTATGTGTATTTTCTAATTAGAATAATATTATCATATATATAGTATGCTATATTTTTTTTGTTATTTTGTGTTGTTAGATGACTACATGTTCAGGCTGTTTGTTTTCAGGATCTAGAATAATTTTTTACTTTTCTAAAAAACAAAAGAAAGTTTTTAAACTTTTAAGCCAAATTAAAAACAATTAAAAAACTTTGTTAAAAAAAGCTATATTTATGTTGATGTATTAATAAAAACTTGTATTTTTTTGTGCTTAAACTTTTTTTTTAAGAGCTTTGTATAGGTTTATTTAAACTAATCTTTTTTATTTCTATATATTGATTTTGTTTACTGAATTTCATTTAAAATTTTGTTTTCTTGCTGTTATTTGCTGCTGCTCTGGTTTATTTCTTGTTTTCCAATTTGGTTAACTATATTTTATAAACCTTTATTTTTTTTCTTTAGTGCTCTAAATGCTGTTTGCTTATGTGTTTTAATGTTATTTTATGTTTTTGCTTTTTATAAATTTTGGTCAAAGGATCTACAAGGGAGAGTGATTATATAATAATATTAGAAAATTAGAAAAAAAGTTGAATAATAAATTTTGATAAACAAGAAAATTTAAAACAAATAATATGCTATTTAAAATTGCTTATTTTTCAAAATTCTATATAAGAAATTCTTTTGATATTCTAATAAAAAGTTTTTGTTAACAATTTTATTATATAATTTACTTTTTACTAACCTATAACCTAACTTTAACTTTAACATAAATGAACAATAAAAATTTTTTTACTATATTACAAACTTAGCACATATTTAAGTAATATGCTTGTAAAATATAATATTATTATAATTGCTGTCTTATGTGCAAAACATACTTTTTTGATACATTTAAAACTAACCAATAAGATTACATATTATTATAGTAAAAAAAATAAAAATTTTAGAATATATTTAAATATATTAAAAAAGTAAATATAAGAGTATGTTTTATATTTTATATAATAAGTCTTGTATAATAAATTTTATATGTTTTATGTTGTTAACTTTTAAGTGACAGGTTTAAAGTTCAAATCTTTATATTGATAAAAATTTAAAATTCTTTTTGTGTTATAATTAACTGTCTTTTACTATTGGTTAGAATTAGATATCTGTTATTTGTATCATATTAGTATGACTAAAAGATTATATAACATTTTTGTAATGATTATATTTTATATAAAAAAATATAAACTAATATCAGATGGTATGAACTTATGATAAGTTTTCATAGTTATATAAGTTACAAGAATCAGAAAAATAGAAGTTTATTTAAAAAACTCAAGTAGAGAGATAGTTTGAATTTTTGATAGTGTTATTGTAAAGATTAAACTTATAACATAAAGTTAAACTTTATAAATCTAGATAAAGATACAGTTTTTGAAAAAAAGCTATTGTAATCAGTTAGATTATTAAAATCTGTTTTATAAGAAAAGATTATATATCAGAAGAATATATAAATCAAAGATATAATTGTACTTATTTTTTTAAATTATCTGAACTAAAAACTTAGTAAAACTTAAATTAAATACTAAAGTAATAAAAATATATTATAAAATAATTACTAAGATTTGTGTAAACTCTATAAAAACATAGTAATTTAATAATATATTCTAACTACAAGTAATAGTTTTAGTTATAGTATTACTTAGTTAGTTTTAAGAATAGAATACAAAAGATTCTAAAAAATTTAGTACAAAATCAAAGGTTCTTTATATAAGTAAACTGCTTTAAAAACTTAGTAATTAAACATATTTTTATCAGTATTAACTAAAGTTATTAATAGGTGTAAGTAGATAAATAAATACAAAACTAGAATGTTTAAATAAGAAACTTACAAACAGGTTCTAAGTATAACAGTTAGTATAAAACTTTCAAATAAATTACTTAAATTAAATAATGATTAAAGTTATACAAATAGCAAATTGTATACTTTTTTTATAGTTGTTTTTTATAGTTGTAATGCAACTATTAACTAAATATTTATCAATAAAATTCTGGATCACAAGTACTTATTTTAATATTTAAAAAAAAATTTAGACAGATAGGTGACAAAAATATTTTTATATCTAAGAACTTGGTTTATAACTCAAAAACTTACTAATTAATTTATATTCTTGATTTGTTTATATAAATTTTTATTGTTTAATAATTATGCTATATTATTTTTAGATTACATACTTGTATAAATATTTTAATAACTATTAATCAAATTTTAATAATATTTTACTATTTTATAAAAAAAGTTTTTTTTATCTACTATATAAGTTTTATATAATTTTAATTAATAATCAGTTCAAAAATTAATAAAAACAAAATTTTATAACTTAATCTTTTAATCTAATTTTCTTAATAATTATTAGTTTAAAATAAGTAAAATGTTATTTATTTATTGGATATATTTTTTTCTATAAAATAAAAAATAATTATTAAAATCTAATCACTAATTGCAAAAATAATTTAAATAATCTATTATTATATATAAAAATCTAATAATTATAATATATTTTAATTCTTTTAGCAATCAGTAACAGATTTATTATAATTTTTTTATTTTATAGAGAAGAAACAGTACTTTCAAATAAAAAAAATTATTTGATTTGAATTACTAGAAACTAAAATAATTAAAATAAAAGTTTGTTATTTAATTAAATATATTATATTATAATTTTAGCAGTAATTGTTATAACTAGAAAAACAGGAACTGTTGTAATTTAGAACAAAAATTAATTTGTAACAGCCAATCAAATAGTTTAATTTTATATTAATTAATTATGTAATCAGACAAATAGACAATGATTTGCATAACAGACATCAAATTTTGCTAATGACCTCTAGTATATGTAGCTATTATGTGATATACATATTCTTAAAAATGTAAGTTCTTTGCTATGTTCTGAACAATAATCACATAACATAATTATTAAAGAATACTCAATTCACCAGTATATATTTTTTAACCTTATATATAATCTTTAATTAAATTTTTTTTTCTTTTTTATCAAATAAAACAAGAAGCTAAATTCTCTAACTATTAAATTACAATTTTTTTTAATTCTAATTTTACTTAATGGATAACTATAATTTTTTTACTAAAAATTTAATAATTTTGTTTAAATTTTTGTTTATTGCTATTGGCAAATTAAAATAATAAATTTCAATGTATTTTTTATAAGATTTAATTCAATAGTATTATGTACTTTTTATACTTTAATTAATATAAAAATTATTTAAATATTTTAATAACAGCTCAAAGTTTTGCAAAAATTTTTAAAAATCAAGAAAAAATTTTATATCATATTAAGCAACTTTTTTTTTAGGTTTAATAAGTAAATAATTATATTAGAGAATTAAAGAAAGATTGAATAATAAATTTGATGCAATGAATAAAAAAAGTTTTTATAATATAATTAATTAATATTTATTTTAATTTTAGTTTATAATTTATTCTAATAAATTTTTTATAATAACAAATTATAAAGAGGGCTTTTAAAGGTTTGATAGAAAGAGTAATATACTCTAAAGAAGAAGAATTTAAGTTAGCTATAAAATATTATCTAAGAATAAATTATTCTGAATTTATTACAAAAAAGTTAAAGAAACAGTTGAATACTTTCTATAAGAAGAATTTTTATAAACTAGTAAAAAATTTTTTAAAATTTTTATTAAACAAGTATTGTCAAGAAAAAAAATAATATTAAACTTTAATATAATTTTTGATTAAAGTTATCTTAACAATTATTTTATAATTATTTATTAAAAAATCTAAATCAAAATATTTTTAATAATATTTAAAGTTAGGCAGCTGCTATACATATCCTCTAAATTTGCTATCTGTACCCTTATGTAATTAGAACATCACAAATCATAATATAATTGGAGAATAATATGTCACATGATACCATCATATGGCTTAGAGGTAAAACTCTGCACTAATTTTTATACAATATGAATAACTTTTAAACTAGATTAGCATGACAAAATACTTTGACAGGGTATATAACAAAATACTTTGACAGGATCTCAGCATGATAAAATACTTAACAAGATGAAATACTTCGATCAGCATGATTGATATTAACACTTCTCAAACTTAAGTTACTGATGCAACATTTGAAGCATTTTAAATCATTACACTTTTTTTTAACCAGTAAGTTTTTTAAATTTATTGCATTTGTCATCTTTATTGAGTTAATATGCATTAACTTCCAAAATTTACATATTATTTAAAATAAAAAAAATTGAACATAGAGTGAGATCAGCCTCTGAACTTAAAATATAAGTACTGTATCTGTTTTTTTTATCTTTTTTGAGAATACCACTAATAAAAAAAAAAAAAAAAAAAAAGTAAAAATTTAAAAAAAAAAGAATAATTTGAACTAAATTTTTACTTTCCATTTGGGCAAGTATAAGAATTGTGACCAGGTTGTCAGTACAGGGTACATTGCTGTCCTTTATGTTCTACCAACTCAAACCCAGAAGGATTTCTCCTGGTTGAGTTTGCTAAACTACAATGAGAAGTACCAGAAGGGTGTCCTCTTGTAAAAACTTCTCTTGGATTCTGCAAAACTATTAGTAGGGTATTAATCATGTTATCTAATGTTACCTGTGCAGTTTCTTGTTGTGACTTCAGCCATTCTTGATATCTTTTTTGCAGGTTCTGTAAAAGAGATTGCAGTGCATCTTCATTATTTTCCTCAATATATGATACCAGTGAGCATTCTGAAATCCACTAATGCTCATAGATACTATCGAGTATTAAAGCCTGGTCATTTTCTAAAAGGCTAATGGTGTGAGCACAAGGCAGCCCCATTGTTTTTGAAAAAGATCCTGTGCATGGTGGCAGGGGTTTCTCAGTTATTGCACAGTTTGTTTTTTGGCATTGCTCGTTTATTTTCTTAAGGGCAAAAGTTGAGACTTTTCCTCTGATATTCGAGTACAAAGGATTGTTAAGTGCAAAAAGTGGAACATGAATTCTTTCTGATGCAACCATTGCATCAATTTCTTTTTTTTGATTGGTAACGGCCAGAGAAATTGTTGTGTGAATATAGTAAAGATCTTCTGTTGATACTTGCAAATATGCCTTGAAGTAGTAATACAAATTGACAAAAATTTTTTAATTGATTAGTTGATTAGTTCAAAAGTTTAAATGTTTAGTTGGCAACTAATCAATTTTTAATCGATTAGTTGTCAACTAAACAATTATTGATTTTTAATCAATTTGTTGTCAACTAAATGATTAATTAATTTTTAATTGATTAGTTGTCAACTAAATGATTAATTGATTTTTAATTGATTTTTAATCGATTTTTAATCAATTAGTTGTCAATTAAATGATTAATTAATTTTTAATTAATCTTTAATTTACATTTTATTATAAGTGGGTAAAGTTTTTTTATTCGATTAGTTGTTTTAAAAAATTACTAATCGATTAGTTGTCAACTAAACCAACTAATCAATTTTTTAATTATCAATTTGTATCAATACCTTGAGGGTTGAATGCGCATCTTCAATACGGGAAGTTACAGTAGTTCCTAAGTGGAGATATAAATTTGTCCATGCAGTCACAAATTTTTCTTTTAATGGTAACCAAGTATCTTTAAGATAAGTGATAACATGAGGTTTATTAGTATAAAGAAAATGAAGTGTATTCCATTTTTCTTCAAATTTATTCTCTGTTATTGAATAGACGATTTTATTCTATTTTGAAAAAAAAGTTTTTCACTCATCACTTTCTTCATCTTCTGATTCTTTTGAAAACTTTAGTTTGCAGTTTTTCAATACATTTTTGTTTATATGCTATACACATAATAGGTTTATTGAATTAGGAAAGATTATCTTAAATGCATTTATAAGGGCAAGCTCCCTATCCATTACTACAACTTTTGACTTTGGTACATCATGAAACAAGCAAGCAAAATGATTGAGGGCCCAGAGGTAATCCAGTTTTTCTTCACCTTTTATAAAAACAAAAGAAGAATAAAATGTGGTATTAAAACTAGTAATATCAACAATACTTAATAAGGGCATTTTAAATTTATTTGTCTTATAGGTACAATCCATAAGAATGATGAAAGAATATTGATGAGTAAGGATAATGGATTCATTGTGTGCAAAAAAAAGGTAAGTAATACAGCCCATATTGTCATATTCGTACTCATACGTAAAATCATCTTCTTCAAACTTATTTATAAGAGCCTTAATGGGGGTATGGCCAGCAAGGTTTTGTTAACAAAGCCATTCATGAGCATTATAAATATCTTTATTCAAAATTAATATAGATGTATCATTATAACAAAGAGTTGACATGATTTCTTTAGGGCAAGATTCAGCTGTTGTCATTGCTGCAACACTTTCCAGCTATTGCTCTGAAAGTTGACAGGTGATTGGATGTCCTAACATGTCATTGTCAAAACTATGATTATGATCAAAATTATAAACTTCCAGATGCCATGAACCATTACATCTAGAAGCATACAACTCATAAGGGCAGTCAATGAGCCTAGTGCTTCTTTGTCTTTGTCATGTTTCTTCATTAAGGTTTGAGGAATTATTATAAATACCACCTTGGTTATAACATAGTGTTATATTTTTTAATTCATCACGATGGTCCTTTTTAGTTCTTTTTTTTACAACAGCATAACCCTAAGAAATTGCATATCTTTGGACGCTTTGGAAAAGTTCATCCACATTATTGAACACTAAGGGTATATTCATTATTCATGATTAATTAATAATTTAACGAAGCTTATATAATAATACAGTAATAAAGATTTTTAAATAGTCTTGACTTAAAGTATAGATTAATTTGAAAATATTTAAAATTTTTTTCAAGACAGTTTTCTTATTACACAACTTTTTATTAACTCTTTTTTTTGTTTAGAATGAGTTTACAATTTTTTTTTTCCAGATTATAACTTTATATAATTTACATGTAAAAAAGACTAATATAATTAAATTTTTTTGTTTAAACAATTTTGAATACATCAGAAAATTTTGAAACCTGATTGTAATTGATTATCATCACCTCATTGATAATAATTCTTAAAGTCAATCGATATAATCGATTAAAATGCTTGCAACCAATTATAGTCAGGTTTCAAATTTTTCTAATGTACACAACTTGGATGTTTTTACAAAAAACTGGTAAGGTGTTCATTATATTAATATTTATTAAACATTGAAGAAACTAACTTTATTTTATATAACTACAATCAGATTCTTACTCGCAGATAAGTTTTTCATATTATTTCTTATCTTTGACTTTGACATCTATTATTGCTCTAATATTTTTTTATCTTTTTTGGTTAGGTATTACTACAGTTTTCTGTTTTTAAAACTATGTTAAACTCATCATATCTTATTTAGTTATATGTGCTCCCTTTATAGCGATCATAGAGCATATTATATGTGTTTTGTTAAATCTAGGTTTGTATAGTAAATGTGCAGCATTTGAACTGCATTAATTACAGTCTAAAACTTTTGTATCAATCATTGCCACACATTTTTTATGTGATACGTACTAGATTAAATGCATATTTCAGGAGTGGGCATTATTGTTATTATGTAAAAAGATATTAATTTAAAATTCTAAGTCTATTGATATTAATAACTAGTGTAGAAAGTCTAGTTTAATATAGTCAATATAGTTTCACAGTACAGTATAATATAATATTTTTTGCTATGTTTTCAAAAATACTTGTATAAATTAATTACCTGAACAAGTATGTTATGACAGATTTGCAAAAAGGTATGACTTCTGCAGGCAATGAAGTCATGCAAAAACATGAGAAATTAGATGATTCTAGTAGATTTTTTAATTCTTAGGAAATTATAGAGATTTTGATATTGTTGATTGAAAAATATGATCAATAGGAAATTTTAAAATCGCAAAAATTTTTTTCAATCATCATTATAAAATTACAGGGTCACACCTTTTTGCAGACCACTACAAATTAGCAAATTAAAAAATTTTGTCCTGAAAATTAGTATCTGGTATCTTTGCATATGAATTTAGATTGAGTAATATTTTCGGAATAGGGATTTTAAGATTATTATTGTATAAAATTTTTCATTTATCAAAAAAACTAGAAACCTTCCATTTAGAATGATAATGATTTAGATGTTTGGTCTTAAAAAAAATCTAAGCAGTAAACTGCTAATTATTAAATTTCTTTAAGGTTTGGCAATTACAAGGTATTCACATTATAGTGAGTGATCGATTAATAAAATTTATTTAAAAAATTTATTAGTAAATTTGTTACATTGAGAATTTTATATAGAAAGACTTTGGGTTTAGTTTCACAATATCGATATCGAAGTTTTACTAAATTGCAAGTGAGAATGAGTTATATTTAATTAGTCAATTATCATATGCTAAACAGACCAATCAAACAATTTTTTTTATATAATGCTGGTTTTGGGGCCGATGATAATGACACAGTATGTACATGAATATCTCTGTTATTAGCACAGCAAATGGCTGACATTAAAATTAATTTTTTTTTAAAAATTAGAATGAAAATATCATGACAACCATTCAAGCAAATTCGACTAACTTTTTTTTATTTTAATTCTATAGATTTTTATAATTAAATAAAAAAAAGTTTATCAAATTTACTTGGATGGCTGCCGAGATATCTTCATGCAAAGTTTGGTAACAGATTAAAATGTCTTAATAGAAGTAGGGATAAAAACCATCAAAGCAAATTTGTTTAACTCTTTTTTATTTTAATTCTACAAGTTTGTAGAAATCAAATAAAAAATTCATCAAATTTGCTTAAATTGTTGTTGAGATATTTTAAAATTTGGTAAAGAATCCAAACATCTATTAAATAGAAGCAGGTATAAAAAGCTTATCTAATTTGCCTAGACAATTTGTCAAGGTATCTTTGTTCGAAGTTTTGTAAGAAATTAAGAAGCAGATAAATTTTTTTAAATTTGAATGAAGATGTCTCTGCAATGACTTAAGCAAATTTGATGGTTTTTTTTATTTTAATTATTAAAGTCTGTAGAATTAAAATAAAAAAAAGTTAATCAAATTTGCTTGAATGGTTATTGTAATATCTTCATTAATGTTGATCATTTGCTGTACCAATAATGAAGATAAGACACATGCATGCTGTGTCGCTATTATTGCCCGGTTTTAGAGTTAAGCCACATGACAGTATCATGTGACATATTATTCTTCAATCATATTATGATTTGTGATGTTTTGATTATATGGGAGTACAGATAGCAAATTTAGGAAGTATGTATAGCAGCCACCTAAAGTTATTCTTTTTTTTAATAATACTCAAAAATTTTATTTATTTTTATATTTAGAAATATTCAAAATATTGTAAAATAATTTTAAATATTTCAAATTATTTTAAAATAATTTGAATATTTTCGCAATACTTAGAATAGTTTTAAATATTTTTAAAATTCAATTTTTACTAAATTTTTATAGTTTTTAGAGAAATTTAGATTGTAAAGTATTTTAACTATTAAGATTAAGAATGTTATAGAACTACTAAGATTAAGAATGCTATGTTTGTTATATTTAGAGATCTTTTAATATCTATTAATAATAAAGCAAAACCTAAAATTATTCTTAAATAAAAATAATTTGTAGAAACTAAATTATATTATAAGTAACTTTTTAAGAATATTTCTGAAGACTTAGAAGATACTTATATATTATTTATATTAAACAATATTTGCTTTTTGGTAATGCAACTTAAGAAAAAGTTTTATATACTATAGCAGTCTGCTAAACTATGCTTGATCCAAAACAAGATAGTTTAATGATTTCTGAAAGCATTATAAAATACAAACTTTCAAGAAATTTGGTATATATTTATTTTATTGTCATAAAATTTTTACTTATATAACTAAAATATTTTTTATATATTAGAAAAAATTAGAAAATAATGAAAATTTTCAACATTAGACTTAGATGATAATATATCTAGTTCTAAAAAAAACAAAACTTCAGAAGACTCTGAAAAGGTATAATTTTATTTTTTATATTTGTAATTAATTTAATATATTTTAATTATTTGTATATTTTTTATATAATTTTAAATCTTTTAATAATTTGAGAACTTTTTATATTTTATAATTTTCAAAATATTATAAATAAATAATAAAATATTTAAATCTTTATGTTTTATATATTGTTTTTTTAAATATATCAAAAAATATTTTTTATTAATTATTAATTTATTAAATTTTTTTTATTTTATCTTTCTAAATATATCTAGAATATTTAGGCTAGCTGCAATAAACAAAAAAAATTTTATAAGAATCTGAAATAATTTATATTATTTTAAAATAATTTATATATTTTTAATATTAATTACAATTAACAAATTTTATTAGATAATTTTTAAAAACTCTTTCTGTAAATCCTTTTTAAACAAAAATAACTAAAAATTCATCAGTACTAAAATTGCTAATATTTAGTTATCTTACTAAGATAACCAACTTTGATGTCTTAAATATACTTGTTCAGCTACTAATTTTATATATACTTTAAAAGTTTCAAGTTTATAACTTTCAAACTTGCAGTTTAACATTGCAAAAATAGTTTTTGGCTTTCATTATTAAACTTTTAATTATTTTTCATAAAGCATCTTGTTAACCTATTCTATAGTCATATGAAAAGTTGTAAAGTACTGCCTTCTGATCAAAACAAGACTAAAAAAAAGCTTGTATGTCTAAAATTGACAGAATTATAATAGAAAACAACTTTAACTCCTCTGTAGTTTATTTTCATTTTTTTTTTTTTATTCCTTTGTCCTTATTTCCAAATTTTTTCTCCAAAATGTTTTTCATATAACCTCAAATTATTTCTAAAATTAGTTTCATTTAATTTCATATTATGTAAATTAAATTTATCTAAAAAGAAATTTATTTGTTACAAATTATCTTGTACTAACTTGCTAAAAATAAATTTTGCATTCAATTATACAATAGTTATTGTAATACTTAACTATTTATAAATTTGTACTACATTAGTCACACTAGCCGCACCAGCTACACCA